TTCTTCTTCTTCTTCTTCTTCTTCTTCTTCTTCTTCTTCTTCTTCTTCTTCTTCTTCTTCTTCTTCTTCTTCTTCTTCTTCTTCTTCTTCTTCTTCTTCTTCTTCTTCTTCTTCTTCTTCTTCTTCTTCTTCTTCTTCTTCTTCTTCTTCTTCTTCTTCTTCTTCTTCTTCTTCTTCTTCTTCTTCTTCTTCTTCTTCTTCTTCTTCTTCTTCTTCTTCTTCTTCTTCTTCTTCTTCTTCTTCTTCTTCTTCTTCTTCTTCTTCTTCTTCTTCTTCTTCTTCTTCTTCTTCTTCTTCTTCTTCTTCTTCTTCTTCTTCTTCTTCTTCTTCTTCTTCTTCTTCTTCTTCTTCTTCTTCTTCTTCTTCTTCTTCTTCTTCTTCTTCTTCTTCTTCTTCTTCTTCTTCTTCTTCTTCTTCTTCTTCTTCTTCTTCTTCTTCTTCTTCTTCTTCTTCTTCTTCTTCTTCTTCTTCTTCTTCTTCTTCTTCTTCTTCTTCTTCTTCTTCTTCTTCTTCTTCTTCTTCTTCTTCTTCTTCTTCTTCTTCTTCTTCTTCTTCTTCTTCTTCTTCTTCTTCTTCTTCTTCTTCTTCTTCTTCTTCTTCTTCTTCTTCTTCTTCTTCTTCTTCTTCTTCTTCTTCTTCTTCTTCTTCTTCTTCTTCTTCTTCTTCTTCTTCTTCTTCTTCTTCTTCTTCTTCTTCTTCTTCTTCTTCTTCTTCTTCTTCTTCTTCTTCTTCTTCTTCTTCTTCTTCTTCTTCTTCTTCTTCTTCTTCTTCTTCTTCTTCTTCTTCTTCTTCTTCTTCTTCTTCTTCTTCTTCTTCTTCTTCTTCTTCTTCTTCTTCTTCTTCTTCTTCTTCTTCTTCTTCTTCTTCTTCTTCTTCTTCTTCTTCTTCTTCTTCTTCTTCTTCTTCTTCTTCTTCTTCTTCTTCTTCTTCTTCTTCTTCTTCTTCTTCTTCTTCTTCTTCTTCTTCTTCTTCTTCTTCTTCTTCTTCTTCTTCTTCTTCTTCTTCTTCTTCTTCTTCTTCTTCTTCTTCTTCTTCTTCTTCTTCTTCTTCTTCTTCTTCTTCTTCTTCTTCTTCTTCTTCTTCTTCTTCTTCTTCTTCTTCTTCTTCTTCTTCTTCTTCTTCTTCTTCTTCTTCTTCTTCTTCTTCTTCTTCTTCTTCTTCTTCTTCTTCTTCTTCTTCTTCTTCTTCTTCTTCTTCTTCTTCTTCTTCTTCTTCTTCTTCTTCTTCTTCTTCTTCTTCTTCTTCTTCTTCTTCTTCTTCTTCTTCTTCTTCTTCTTCTTCTTCTTCTTCTTCTTCTTCTTCTTCTTCTTCTTCTTCTTCTTCTTCTTCTTCTTCTTCTTCTTCTTCTTCTTCTTCTTCTTCTTCTTCTTCTTCTTCTTCTTCTTCTTCTTCTTCTTCTTCTTCTTCTTCTTCTTCTTCTTCTTCTTCTTCTTCTTCTTCTTCTTCTTCTTCTTCTTCTTCTTCTTCTTCTTCTTCTTCTTCTTCTTCTTCTTCTTCTTCTTCTTCTTCTTCTTCTTCTTCTTCTTCTTCTTCTTCTTCTTCTTCTTCTTCTTCTTCTTCTTCTTCTTCTTCTTCTTCTTCTTCTTCTTCTTCTTCTTCTTCTTCTTCTTCTTCTTCTTCTTCTTCTTCTTCTTCTTCTTCTTCTTCTTCTTCTTCTTCTTCTTCTTCTTCTTCTTCTTCTTCTTCTTCTTCTTCTTCTTCTTCTTCTTCTTCTTCTTCTTCTTCTTCTTCTTCTTCTTCTTCTTCTTCTTCTTCTTCTTCTTCTTCTTCTTCTTCTTCTTCTTCTTCTTCTTCTTCTTCTTCTTCTTCTTCTTCTTCTTCTTCTTCTTCTTCTTCTTCTTCTTCTTCTTCTTCTTCTTCTTCTTCTTCTTCTTCTTCTTCTTCTTCTTCTTCTTCTTCTTCTTCTTCTTCTTCTTCTTCTTCTTCTTCTTCTTCTTCTTCTTCTTCTTCTTCTTCTTCTTCTTCTTCTTCTTCTTCTTCTTCTTCTTCTTCTTCTTCTTCTTCTTCTTCTTCTTCTTCTTCTTCTTCTTCTTCTTCTTCTTCTTCTTCTTCTTCTTCTTCTTCTTCTTCTTCTTCTTCTTCTTCTTCTTCTTCTTCTTCTTCTTCTTCTTCTTCTTCTTCTTCTTCTTCTTCTTCTTCTTCTTCTTCTTCTTCTTCTTCTTCTTCTTCTTCTTCTTCTTCTTCTTCTTCTTCTTCTTCTTCTTCTTCTTCTTCTTCTTCTTCTTCTTCTTCTTCTTCTTCTTCTTCTTCTTCTTCTTCTTCTTCTTCTTCTTCTTCTTCTTCTTCTTCTTCTTCTTCTTCTTCTTCTTCTTCTTCTTCTTCTTCTTCTTCTTCTTCTTCTTCTTCTTCTTCTTCTTCTTCTTCTTCTTCTTCTTCTTCTTCTTCTTCTTCTTCTTCTTCTTCTTCTTCTTCTTCTTCTTCTTCTTCTTCTTCTTCTTCTTCTTCTTCTTCTTCTTCTTCTTCTTCTTCTTCTTCTTCTTCTTCTTCTTCTTCTTCTTCTTCTTCTTCTTCTTCTTCTTCTTCTTCTTCTTCTTCTTCTTCTTCTTCTTCTTCTTCTTCTTCTTCTTCTTCTTCTTCTTCTTCTTCTTCTTCTTCTTCTTCTTCTTCTTCTTCTTCTTCTTCTTCTTCTTCTTCTTCTTCTTCTTCTTCTTCTTCTTCTTCTTCTTCTTCTTCTTCTTCTTCTTCTTCTTCTTCTTCTTCTTCTTCTTCTTCTTCTTCTTCTTCTTCTTCTTCTTCTTCTTCTTCTTCTTCTTCTTCTTCTTCTTCTTCTTCTTCTTCTTCTTCTTCTTCTTCTTCTTCTTCTTCTTCTTCTTCTTCTTCTTCTTCTTCTTCTTCTTCTTCTTCTTCTTCTTCTTCTTCTTCTTCTTCTTCTTCTTCTTCTTCTTCTTCTTCTTCTTCTTCTTCTTCTTCTTCTTCTTCTTCTTCTTCTTCTTCTTCTTCTTCTTCTTCTTCTTCTTCTTCTTCTTCTTCTTCTTCTTCTTCTTCTTCTTCTTCTTCTTCTTCTTCTTCTTCTTCTTCTTCTTCTTCTTCTTCTTCTTCTTCTTCTTCTTCTTCTTCTTCTTCTTCTTCTTCTTCTTCTTCTTCTTCTTCTTCTTCTTCTTCTTCTTCTTCTTCTTCTTCTTCTTCTTCTTCTTCTTCTTCTTCTTCTTCTTCTTCTTCTTCTTCTTCTTCTTCTTCTTCTTCTTCTTCTTCTTCTTCTTCTTCTTCTTCTTCTTCTTCTTCTTCTTCTTCTTCTTCTTCTTCTTCTTCTTCTTCTTCTTCTTCTTCTTCTTCTTCTTCTTCTTCTTCTTCTTCTTCTTCTTCTTCTTCTTCTTCTTCTTCTTCTTCTTCTTCTTCTTCTTCTTCTTCTTCTTCTTCTTCTTCTTCTTCTTCTTCTTCTTCTTCTTCTTCTTCTTCTTCTTCTTCTTCTTCTTCTTCTTCTTCTTCTTCTTCTTCTTCTTCTTCTTCTTCTTCTTCTTCTTCTTCTTCTTCTTCTTCTTCTTCTTCTTCTTCTTCTTCTTCTTCTTCTTCTTCTTCTTCTTCTTCTTCTTCTTCTTCTTCTTCTTCTTCTTCTTCTTCTTCTTCTTCTTCTTCTTCTTCTTCTTCTTCTTCTTCTTCTTCTTCTTCTTCTTCTTCTTCTTCTTCTTCTTCTTCTTCTTCTTCTTCTTCTTCTTCTTCTTCTTCTTCTTCTTCTTCTTCTTCTTCTTCTTCTTCTTCTTCTTCTTCTTCTTCTTCTTCTTCTTCTTCTTCTTCTTCTTCTTCTTCTTCTTCTTCTTCTTCTTCTTCTTCTTCTTCTTCTTCTTCTTCTTCTTCTTCTTCTTCTTCTTCTTCTTCTTCTTCTTCTTCTTCTTCTTCTTCTTCTTCTTCTTCTTCTTCTTCTTCTTCTTCTTCTTCTTCTTCTTCTTCTTCTTCTTCTTCTTCTTCTTCTTCTTCTTCTTCTTCTTCTTCTTCTTCTTCTTCTTCTTCTTCTTCTTCTTCTTCTTCTTCTTCTTCTTCTTCTTCTTCTTCTTCTTCTTCTTCTTCTTCTTCTTCTTCTTCTTCTTCTTCTTCTTCTTCTTCTTCTTCTTCTTCTTCTTCTTCTTCTTCTTCTTCTTCTTCTTCTTCTTCTTCTTCTTCTTCTTCTTCTTCTTCTTCTTCTTCTTCTTCTTCTTCTTCTTCTTCTTCTTCTTCTTCTTCTTCTTCTTCTTCTTCTTCTTCTTCTTCTTCTTCTTCTTCTTCTTCTTCTTCTTCTTCTTCTTCTTCTTCTTCTTCTTCTTCTTCTTCTTCTTCTTCTTCTTCTTCTTCTTCTTCTTCTTCTTCTTCTTCTTCTTCTTCTTCTTCTTCTTCTTC